AGTTATAGCATTGCACACCTCTTTTCTCTACTTTGTCTTTCTGATAGGAATTTCATTCTCCTCTTTTCGAGGATTCAGAATTTCTATCATTGATCTTATTCTTGTGAGGATTCGACCAAGACTTCTTTCCCTGAGTCTTGTCGATTTTGCCTTTGCACTTTTTGGAACCACCATTCTTCTTCCACGATTGCGCCTATAATGCTTGTATTGAATCTTGAACTTCTTTCCTTTCAACAATCCTAATCTCACGCGCTTCCAACGAACCAACCAAATCTTCCAGTTTTAGGGTTTCAAGATTGTTGGATTCTTGAATAGCTACGATAACATGATCAAAGTGAGAGGTCAACGTACACATTACCTTCTCAGTTATCATCTTATCAGTTAGGGTTTCACCATAACCCTTCATGAGATGGAAGAGTTTCTCCACCTTCAACATATAGCCTGCAATCTTTTCATTTTCTCCCATTAACAACAATTCATATTGTCATCGCAAAGTTTACAACTTAACGACTTTAACTTTCTTGCCTCCTTCACAGTAATTGACAAGAATATCCCATGCCTCATTCGCCGACTCAGCATGGGCGGTTCTGTCAAAATTAGCCGCATCAACCACCGATTAGATATAGAACGCCGCCTTGCAATCCTTCTTCTTGGCATCCTTATGAGCAATTTTCTGTGCTTCGGTTGCATCTTCACCAAGCACATGAACGCCATTAGTAACCACTTCTAGAGTTTCATGAAAGCCAAATAGAGATTGCATTTGTTTTCTCCATCGAAGCCAATTCTTTTCATCAAGAGTTGGAAGAGAGTTTGGTAAATTTTTTATACCATTCATCTTTGCAGCGATTGATCAACAATAACTCACGATCCTGGAAACACGATCTCTGATGTGTGACTCTTGAAAACACGACCGAGAATCTAACTGGAGCTCTAGATACCAATTTGTTAGTGCATGAGGCACTTTTAGAAGAGAATAAGGAAATAAGGATTTATTGAATAAATTGTTACAATTGAATTACAAAGTGTCTATTTATATACACAAAAAATAAAAAATAACAAACCTTAATTGGACTTGGGCTAACACAACTTGAATTATATTTAAATATTAAATCTAATCTAATATTTCAACAAGAGGGGGTGAATTTTCAGCAGTTAAGCACAAAAGAAATGTCTTTCTCAGGAGCTCCTTTCCTTGAAGAAGAAGTATAAAATGTGGTGTGGTCTGAGGCTAGTGACAAAAGCACTGGACCTTATGTATTCAATCTTTGTTTCTTTAAAGAGTGCTGGAAAATTTGAAAGTTGATTTGTTTAGATTTGTGAATGGATTCCATCTTAATGCCAAAGTGCCAAAAGCTGTAACTTCCTCATTTTTAACATTGATTCCATATTTAGATAGCGCTCAATGCTTAGATGAGTATAGGTACATCTGTCTTGTTACTAGCTTATATAGGATTCTAGCTAAACTTTTAGCAACTAGGATTAAAAAGATGTTGGATAGATTGATTTCAAAGAATCAATCAACTTTTTAAGTCCAAAGAAAAATGCAAGATGGTATGGTGGGTTTGGATGAAGTTTAAGATTTTTCCAAAAGACGCAAAAGAGAATGTTTGTTGGTTAAAATTGATTTGCGAAAGACCTACAATTGTGTTTCTTGGAGTTACATGAAATACATGAAATACATCACGTCTAGAGTGGGATTTGGAGCCTTATGACTTAAAAGGACGGGGGCATTGAAGTTCACTAGCTCAATGTTTATACTAGTGAATGAGAGCCTAACTTTGAATTTTGAAGTAAGTAGGGGTTTGAGGTAAGGGGATCCATTTTCCCCTTTCCTCTTCTTATTGGAAACAAAATAACTAGCTAGAATGATGCATAAAGCCTCAAGTTTGGGTGAATTTATTGGTTTTCATGTTAATATGGCAATTCACTTCAAGCTATTACAATTTACAGATGATACTCTTATTCTATGTGATCGGTCTTGCAATGATCTTTGGATCTTGAAGGTTATCTTAGGGGGTTTTGAAATGATGTTTGACATATGTATTAATCTTTCCAAAACTAAAATAATTGATATAAATATCAAAAAAGATTTTATGCAAGGTGCCTTCTCTTTTCTCACATGTAGCATCGGCTCTACAACCTTTTAATTTCTAGGAATTTAGGTTAGAGTTAACCTTAAAAGAAAAAAAAACTTGTAGTCTTATACTCACAAAATTTCAAAGGCTAAAACTCACAAAATTTCGAAGGTGACGGTTGCCTTAGAAGTGTCATTAACTGTACTTAGGAGGTAGGATAGTCATGTTGAATGTTGTTTTTTCAAATTTAAAAGGGACTATATATGGTGGAGGGACATATGTTCATTGTCTGACTTGAGTTGGATCTCTAGCTCAATCAATTATAAATTAGGGGATGGTAAAGTGAAGGATTTCTAGAAATTCAAATGACTAATTATTTTTCTCTTTGATGCCAAAATTTTAGACATGGGAGTTTGGGAGGATAGGTGTTGGAGGTGGGTACAATCCAAAACGACATTGTCTAAAAAATCAAAAGAGTTGGAAAAAAAAAAGAATTTTGATGAAGTTATAATTGAAAAAAAGACAAAAGTTTTTTTTAAAGAATGTAAGAAGTAGGAGAAATTTCCATTGCACATTTCTTCTATATGTAATTTATTATAAAAATGAGATTTTAATTTGTTTAAAATTAATGTTGATGTTAGATCATATGATTTAAAAGATCGACTAAATATCCGTCTCAACCATCGCTATGAAAAATGTGGTTAGTGTTAAGTATTGTCTTCCGTTAATCAACAATGAATGTGTTCATTTTATCAACATTCAACTTTGACACAATAAAGAGGTGAAAATCTTGCTTTTTATATTTGTTCGGCATCCTTCGGAAGACCGGTAGAATTATATTTTGTTAGATTTGATAATGCTATTGTTTGAATACTTGGAATAATAAAAATTTGGATGGTAATTTGAAAAAAGTTAATGGCAATAAATAATATGTATGAACTAGAATGTTAATGGTTAGTGAATTTAAAAAAAGTTCATTAAGAGAACACACTTTAATAATGTTTATATATTTCAAGTAGGTAATGGATTGACTCTAAGAGACACTCAATTTTGTGGTTGGATGAGAACTCACTACTATGAAACATAACACACGCGTCTACCGTTTGGCCAGCTCGGTTTGGTCTTAGGTTTTGTTCCAATATTTTTTTAGTATCCGAAATGATATTTAATATTTAATTAATTTAGTAATCGTGTGTAATACAAATTATTTGATTAATTAATAGTAGTATATTGTAATTTAATTACAAATTAATTATCATTAATTAATTAATTATCGATAATTGTTGACCTTTTTTTCTTGCCGACCAAGTCTCCTCACTTTTTGCTGAAGTACATAATGATTGGGCCGGTTTCACTCTTCCACTTTTTTCTCCCACTTAGGGCTGACAATGAACCAAACCAACTCAAAGATAGTTCAGAATTCGACTCGACAATTAAATCGTTGAACTAGGTTCATGAACCAAATGAGTTGAGTATGAGCGAAAAATTAAGTTCGTTAACTAAATGAGCTGAACTTGAACTATACATAGTTCGACTCGTTAGGTTCATGAGTCAACTCGATTACATATGAAAAGAATTATACTGTCTTTAAGATTAAGTTTAAATATTTACTTCAAATCTTAGACAAATTTAATCTTCAATTTATTAGTTTTTGAATTAGACTCTCAAATGTATCTCTTGAAAGTTGTGTAGGTTTTGAATTAGTAGATTTCGAAGATAAAGTTAAATTTCAATATGATAACTTTTATTTTATTTTAATATTTTATTTAAAAAATATATATTTATTTAAAATGTCAAATATACTAAAAATATATATATTTAAAAAAATAGTTCTTAAGTTCGTGAACCATGTGAGTTGAACCTAATGAGATGAACCTAACGAGTCGAACCGAACTGTTCGTGAACTTATAACGAGTCGAGTTTGAGTTTAAAAAAAAGTTCGTGTCGAACTCGAACTCGAACTCGAATTCAAACAATTCTTAACGAGTCGAGCCGAGCTGAGGTGAGTTCGACTCGACTCAACTCATTTCCAGCCCTACTTCCACTGATTTTTTTTCACTTGGATCAGATTAGTGAAATTCCCATTTCGAAATTCCGCATTCTTAATTTTCTCTTCTCTCTTAACTGTGCTTCTTCTTAAATTTTCTTTTCTATTTTCAAGTGACTTGCATGCGCCATCTGCAAATGATTTATTCAAATATTACAAGTGGTTTTGACACCATCTTCGAATGGTTCAACATTATCAAAAGGTGTATTTTTAAAACGATCACATACCGTATAAATAGTGATCATATAATTAAACTGCGTTGTTTTATCCTAAAAAAAAGTGGTTGTTTTAGATAATTTTAATAAATTTAAGCGATTTATTCTGCAATTCGACCAATAATTTTTCTCTGAAAATTGTGAAACAACAACTATTTGATTAAACATGATTTGTTTTAGGATATTTCATATTTGATAAAATCATGGCGTGTGTGGTTGAACCGGATGAAGAAATTAATTTGTCTCTCTCATTATTTGAGCGTTTATGTCATAGTACAACAACTATTTGATTAAATAGATTTTGTAAGAAGTAAAACTAAACACCAAAGGCAAAAATAAAAAGCTGTATTTGACAAGAACTAAAAACAAAAATATATTTACACAAGGACCAAAATATAAATAAAAAAAATTATATTTACATGCATCCACTTGCAAATGTAATGGTACTCTTGTCAATGATTGTTTAACCACTCCCACTCATAATATTATACATAAATTTCATACCAAACTTTTAACCAAAACATGAAAACATAACCTAAAGAATTTATGTAACAAATTCAAACCATTCTTTATTCATCATCACATCAACATACACTTTACTACTTACAAACTTTTACAAACTTATTCAAAGAGTTTGTTCAAAACAAAATGCATTTTCCAAAATCAATGTTTAGATTTATGCCTACAAATAACTTTACACCTTAAAACCTTATCTTGAACATAGAAACCAGGCATAACCATAATCTTAACCTTATTAGGACCTTGTGATCTTTGTCTATCAATAATAACTAAATCTTCCATGTAACAATCATCAAAGACTCTATTCTCTTCCACTCTTAATATTCCCAATGTTGGTGTGAAAGAAAATGCCAAAAGATGTAACAACCAAATGCATTTTGCTGCCACAAAAAAAGCTTGAAGAAGTGGCTCTGGCCAAGGCCTTAACCAATTAAGTGAAGTGATTATGCAACTCATTTTTTGGTCACAGAATTTGCTGAACTCTTCACTGTAATATTTTGTACCTTTTTTCATGACTTCATTCCAGCTTAAGTTTCGTAGCTTAACGAATGACGAGAATTGCGCTTGTCGGTCTTGTCTAGGGTCTAGGAATTTCGACGAGCCGTTCCTTTGGAAGACGGAATTCTCGAAGTCTTGGTAGAGTGATTGGTTTATGAATGCTTCGAAATGGTAAAGTACTGCTTTTGAGTATTTGGAGTTCAATGAGAGTTTATATGGTTGAAGAAGTAAGTTCAAGTTTTCGATCAAAGTTTGATCGTTTTCGTCGATTTGGCTTATAAGGGTCTTGCAGAATTGTTTCACGGATAATCTTGATTCTGAAACAATCTGCAAGAACCCTTCTACCATTACGTCTTCACTCACCGGCATCATTGAATTTTCGCCATTTCCATCAAAGGGTGATCCGAGTTTCTCATTACGGACCGGAGATTCTCTCGCTTGCATTGCTTGTTTCAATGCTTTTTTCAGCTCTTCGCAGTAACTTTCCAAATACTCAAGCTTTTGTTTCAGTTCACCGAACGAAGATCTCATCTCCGAAACTTCAATTATAGCGGAATCTCGACTCTTGTGAGCTTCAATGAGCTCTCTTTTCAACATCTCGATCGACATAATCCCCGTGTCTTTGTTCAAAATCTGAGAAACCTCTTCAGATTCCGTTCTATTCGGCGATAAACCAAAACCCTCGTTCTTATTCTTATTCTTGTCCTTCTTCTTGAACTTAGGAAAAAGCCATGAAATCATCCCTTTACTTTTAACTTGAGTTTGAAATGAAGCATGAGAATCAGTTAAAGGAACCACAATGTTAGAACTTCTATTGTTTTTCGTGTTGTCGAATTCGCTAGTTATCAAAGCGGGTTTACACCTATTACAAGAAGATAAGGGTTTGTAATCATCCAAACTGTTTCTTCTTCTAGATTTGAAATACTCATTAGGTGATGTTTGAAGGACATTGATGTGATTTGCACAAGAACCTGTTACTGATTTTGTATCATCATCAACAGGACACATGTGAGAAGATTCTTGGTTTAGATTTGTTGAAAAACCAAAAGGTTGTACCTTTATTGAGCTTGTTTTTTTCTCCTTGTAATCTTGTACAATGATACTTTCTATGATGTTTCCTTCTTCTATCACATTTTCATCCCAACTTTCTGATATTGTTCTGCTTTTTGTTGGGTTTTGATGTGCCTCATCTTCATAACTCTGTCAATATTTCACATAAAAATATCATCTATAAGGTTTTTAAAAAGTTCGGTTACCCCGAAAACCGCCGCGACAAAACAGTATCAGAAGGTTCCGGTACCGGTACCGCAACGACTGCGATGACTATCACCGATTAAAATCGCGAAAGTCTTTACGCGACCGTTACTTAAAAACTTTATGTTCCAAATGAAAATGTTCAAAATATCATTGTTTTTCTCAAACTAAAAGAACATCATTGTTGGGTTTCATGAGAAGCAAGATAAGTAAAAAGTTTATATTTTTAGATGAAAAATTAGAAACCCATTTTAGGAAGGAAATAAAAGAATAATTTTGAATTCGGAAAATGAAAGAAAATTGCTTACTGGTGTGAAAACAGGGTAATCTTGAGCAGAGAAATGAGAAACAGAGTGTAAAACAGGGGAAGGAGATGGAAATCTAGCATTGTGTGAGGTTGGGCTTGGGCTTGGGCTATTTCCTTGGGTTAAGGCAGCATGAAGGGCTCTTAGTTCAACTGCTTTAGCAATGGCAGTTTGGATTTCTTGTCTGTTGAGATGAGTGCTGCCATTGTTGTTTTGTTGAAAAGGTTGTTGTTTTAGTTGTTGTGAGGTTGGAGCCATGAAATGTGAGAGAGGATAGAGAGAACAAAGAGGTTTGTGTTGAAGTGTTTTGATGAAGATGATAATTTATGTGCAGTGGAATGTTTTTTTGATGTGGTGTGAGTTATTGTTGAAGGGTGTTTAACGGTTGGATTTGATAGGATAGAGAAATTGGAAGAAAGGGTCACATCTCAATTGTAACGAGCTTTGTCTGTTTTCTAATGGGAGAAAATTCATGGGGTGAGTGAGTGTGCACATGTGATCATGAAATGAAAGACTACTTTTTATTCCATAGTAATAATATACCCTCAAATATTTATTATTATTTTTTCGTTCAAATTATTAATTTCTCTCTTTTATGTAATTATGAAAAATATTACTGTAAAACGTCTTATCATTTAAAACCGAAAGAGTTTACGATAAATGAGGACCCATTTTACCAAATATGGCTACATATATTGATATATTATGAGTAACCAAAATTAGGTAGTTTGCTTTGCAAGCAAATATATGAAGTTTCTCAATGTCCCCCCACCTAAGGGGCAGTACTAATTTGAGCTTTAAATGGAGGATTGATGTTGTCCACTAGATTTTTTTTGTGTGCCCATTACTCTTTGCATGTGTAATCATCATTTGTGACCACTTAAATACGGAAATACAATTTACACCTACTTTTTATTTTATTTTTTTATATATTTTATATATTTTTTTCTCTAATATATATTATTTTTATCATTCACTATCTTACTATTTAAAAATGATTGAAAGAAACGTTTGCATTAAACTATTTGTTACATTGTTTTACATCTTGGATGGAAGGAAAGAATATTCTGTGTGTATATTAAATACGTAACGATAGAGTTATAAGTGGTTGTTATTTTTCCCATGCAAACATGGTGGTGAGTGGTGACCCTTCATGAGGTTTAAGATTGTAAGTTATTTTTAAATATTTGATTGATAGTAACAGATAAACTGATACCAAATTAAATATTTTATGAAAAACAAAAGATGTGTACTGTTAATTTATAATAGTTTTGAAATCAGTTGTCTATTTTGAAATGGTGGTCCATTTTACTTTTCTGATCAATAATAGAGCTTTTGATAGATATATTTCTTTAAAAAGTTATGAAATAGATATACAAGAGAAATTATGATTGTTATTGTCGGATTTAGAAACAAAAGATAAAAGAAACTATGAAAATATGAATAATAATAGGGCGGTTGGGTCGGACAACATATTTATTGAAGGGTAAAATTTTGTTGGAGGTAGAAGTATTGAGAGGCTAACCAAACTCTTTAACGAGATTACGAGGTTAAAGCAAAAGTCAAATGAATGGAGGAGAAACACTTTAGTTTCAACCTATAAGAATAAAGATGATATACAAAATTGTGCAAATTATAGAGGGATTATACATATGAGTCATACCATGAAGTTATGGAAAGAGTGATTGAACAGAGACTAAGAAAAAAGTCTAAAGTCTTGGTTTATCATCACCTGATTTAAAAGAGTTGAACCAGTCCTGGTTTATCATCACCTGATTTAAAAGAGTTGAACCAGTCTTGGTTCGGTGTCATATGGTAGAAGCACCTAGAGACAAGGATTCGTGCATCGGTGCACTTTGCAGATGAAACACAAAGCAAATCATTTTCACTGTAGGAACAATCATACTGAACTACATTTCTGGAACTACTATTTTTTGGACTTATTTGGACAATCCCTATTCTAATGGCCTATTTTCTTGCAACCATAACATTCTGCTGTTTTTTTGTCCTTGGACTTGAACCTATTTTTTTCCAGAACCCACCGCCTTACCCTTGTCTCTGCCACGATCTTGACCTCCCATCAGAAATAAACCTTCACCTAAACTTCCTCCACCTTCCTCTACACTTTGGTGACGTTGTGTGTGTTGCAAAAGAGTAAAAGAAATATAATTCACCGTGATTGTTTCCTTCTCGTATGTGAGAGTGGTCACCAAGTGGTTATAAGAGCTTGACAAATAGCACAATAAAATAGTGGATTTATCCTCATCTCAACCTCCATACCAAGTTGTGTCAAATCAGCGAGATGTTCTTGAAAGCGTTAACACGAGCTTGCAATTCACCTCCTTCCCGCCTCTTCAGACTATAGAGATGATGCTTCGCGAACTATTTATTCATGAACGTCTTGAACATGTATTAATTTTCCAAATTTTCCCAGACATTCGTCGAATTTGTGAGGTCCATGATATGATTCATCATGTCATAAAAAACGCAAAGTGTTATCAAAATACGACCTTTTCCTTCATCTCATTCTAATCAATAATTGCGATGTATGTTGGTTTTTCATCACGAAGCACCTTCTGTTAACCTATCTGAGCCATCAAATTCTTAACCTTCACTTGCCATAAACTAAAATTATCTATTTTGTCGAACCGAGTCACTTCAAATTTTGCACCATCAGGATAAAAATCTCCCCAAGTGTGAGTTCCCCACATCACTAGCCTTGATCCACACTAGTATCCGAATCTGCTCCCTCACCAAGTGAACTACGCTCTGATACCAATTGTTAGAAGAGTTGCGCGAATACATATCAGAGCAGAGAGAAACACACAAAAGCTTTGTTCACGTAGTTAGGCCATATTGCCTATTGTAGCACTCCAAAATTTGCCTCCTCATTTCTTGGTCAACTGGCTTTTGTTTCTCTGTATTTTTGCATTTCTGTATATCATGACATTGATTCTCAAGGCATGGGATCAAGGTATTTCTATGGCTCAGGGGTCTTTTTAATTGCAAAAGTTTAAACAACGACCGTTAGAGGCTTCGACATTTATTTTTCCCAGCAATCGAATGCCCGATTTTATTTTTATTCAGCAGGTTATTTTTAGCACAGGAGATGAGACACAAGATATCTCAGGCATTCTCATAGTTATGATGTCAAATGGCAAGTTTCAAAGGCTTAACAGGGCTCAGAATGGGTGAAAACGGACGAATGTGCAAGTTTCTCTCCAAATGGCGCTATTTTTGAAATTTTGTGAGTTGTTAACCGATTAACCAATTTTCACTAGCAAATGGTTAATCGACTAACCATAGTGAATTTTTCTCAGTAACGTGCATTTTCAATGCTGCCACTTTTGGGGTCTATTTTGATCACTTGTGAATTTGATTTTACACTAGAAGAAGGATCTAGAATCACTCTAAATTTGGTTTAACTTTCAAAATCAATTCAAATTCCCTCCAATTTTCCATTCCTAATCCCATTCCAGTTTTCATAACCTCACTCCGGACCATAATTCTACTCCTAACCAAGAGTCTATTTAAGTGAATTGGCTCCAAACCTCACCATAATTTCCACTTTTCAGATTTCACACTCTCTCATTCTTGTGAATTTGCTCTCAAAATTCTCTCAACTTTTCTACACTCAAAAACCTCCATTAAAGCTCTTTACACTTGAGTTCATTGATTCTTCATTGGAATCATTGAATTTTAGAGCTAAACCTCCATCATTCATCTCCATCATCTTCAATTCATCACTTGATTTTTGTTTGGATTTGGATCTGATCTTGGAAGCAAGTTTATAAGTGATCCTTGGATCAATTTTGGCTTGTTATTCACTTCTATTGCAAGAAAGCTCTTTGATCTTGAAGAATTCTTGGGTTTCTAGCTTGGATCTATCAATTTCCAGTAGATTAACATTTACCAAAGCGAATCTCAGCTTTGAAGGTTGGTTAATTCTGGATCCAATTATCTTTTGAGCTTATTTGAATAATCACAATGTAGATCTTCAAGTTTTGATTGATTTTGTTGATTTTGGTCTTTGTGATTTGTGATCTCAATGCTTGATTAAGTCTAATTGATGTTTGATCACTGTTTTTTGGTGTTGAATTTGTGCATAATTGATTACATGATCATTTGGATGATTTCACGTTGAATTAATTGCTGAAAGTGCTTTTGAATTGCTATTTTTTTTTTGCTTCTGGTGCAGTGTTAATAGATTAACCAGTTGTAGTACAAAACTAGTTAATCGATTAACCAATGCAATTTTTAAAGTTTTCAAATGGTTAATCGATTAACCAGTTTGCACAGGAAAATGGTTAATCGATTAACACTGGACCAGAATGTGATTTTTGGTTGTTTTCAAGCATGTTTTGATTTATTTCCACCTCTAACCTTCATGGATTGATATGATGTATTTGTGTGGACTGTTTTTGACTTGTTTCATCATGCTTGACTGTTTGATCTCGATTTTTCAATGTGCGACTTTTAGTTTCCGTTTGAATGTGTAACATGTTCATTTTGCTTGATTGGTGTGATGATCTTATGCTTTGCTTGTTTATATCATGTAAATGATATATTGTTGATGATCATTTTGCTGGATTATTTGATGCATGTTTGCGTTTGCTTCCAATCCGTTGGTCGCATGTTCGTCTGATTGCGTAATTAATTTGAAAATCATGTTGATCTTGTTGATCCTTTGTGATGCAATGTTGTTGAAAAATGATGTTTGATTATTGATGCATGTCTATTCTTGCATGTTAATTGTTCATGATTGGTGTTTGCTCATCTTTGTTTGCATTGAGACATGCTTGCTGTCATGCTTTCTACAACTGTTGTATTCTGAATTTGCATGCTGTCTTTGTTATGCTTGCTTGTTGCCTGCCCCTTTTAAACCTACTTTTGTATTGATTTAGTAGCTGTTAAATGTTGTTGTGTTGCCTTGCTGGATTTTGTGGCTGTTTTGTGTAGGAAGCACTGTTGTAATTGTTGTTTTTACCTTGTTTTCTTACTTTTTGCCTTGCCTTTGCATGCTCCCTTAGGATTCCTATTCCAATTTTATTTCCGATTAATTTTGGGATTAGGATAGACATTAGGAGTGCAATCCAAGCATGATAACAAGTAGGCTAGTCCTTTTTAACCTCAACCTTAGGTCCATCTTTTGCATGCTAACATTAAGATAAAATTTCCTTTTCGCATCCTGACCTTAGGACCACTTTGCATGACAACGTTAGGACCGAGTTTCCCTTAGACCTTTCGTGCATCTTTCT